GAGTGTGGTGGGGTTGGAAATGGCTTTTGGTAACAGATGCATCTCTGCTGTCCTTACATTTCGTTTAATTGGACCTAAATGTTCGGTAAGGCAATCATTGAATTCTGTAAATTTATCTCAGCAACGATGGAGGCTGTGGCCTCCCATTAGCACTTCCTGATATGGTGTAGACCCAGTCGCATGGTGAGCCACTGAACACTAGAGCAGTCCCCATAGCCAAATCGTGGCTGCATGCAGCCCAGACTTGAACATAAGACAATCCCAAACATATTGCGTGAGGATATGTGAGAAACTCTGTTGCTCAGTGAAGATGTGTATGTAGGTATCAAAGACCTCAAGTCTATCCAAGTAGTCCTAGTGTGAAGATGATTCACCCTGTCAATTTTCTTCCTTTCAGCCAGTCTATCTTCATGAATGTCCTCTTCTAGGTCTTCATTTGGGCCAAAGTACTTCTGTGTCAGAGAGGTCAAACACTGGGACAGGCTTCCTAGAGAGGTGGTTGATGCCACACACCTGCCAGTGTTTAAGAGGCATTTGGACAGTGCCCTTAACAACATGCTTTAACTTGGTCAGCCCTGAATTGGTCAGGCAGTTGGACTAGATGATCGTTGTAGGTCCCTTCCAACTGAAAATATTCTATTCTATTCTAGGTGTTCCAGTGTTAAGTTTTGTTGATTGCCTTTTGCTAACAGGTAACTCTCCTTGTCCTCTTCAGAACTGCTTCTGGTTTTCTGAGTAACTTCATGTCTCAGCTGCTGAGGCACATCCACAATTCCTCTTTCTTAGAGTCATAGGATGGTTTGGTTGGAAGGGACCTTACAGATCATCTAGTTCCTACCCCCCTGCCATGGGCAGGGACAGCTTCCACCAGACCAGGTTGCTCAAAGCCCCATCCAACCTGGCCTTGAACACCTCCAGGGAGGGAGCAGCCACAGCTTCTCCGGTCAAGCTATTCCAGTGCCTCACCTCCCTCATGATGAAGAATTTCTTCCTCACATCTAATCTAAATCTTCCCTCTTCCAGTTTAAAGCCATGGCCCCTTGTCCTATCCTTACATGCCCTTGTGAAAAGTCCCTCCCCAGCTTTCTTGTAGGCCCCTTTAGGTACTGGAAGGCTGCTATAAGGTCTCCAGTCACCTCTGTATTTTCCATGTGCCTTAGCATAGTTTC